ATCATAATTCTCACCGGCCTAGACAACGTCAGAGCGAATGGCAGGCTTGAAACAGGAGAACCTACCCGATATTTCTTGATGACATCGATGATGTCCTTTCCATACCAAATTATGACGTGCATTATCGTTGCGCCGATGGCAAGATTAGCGCCGATCTTGGCAAGCACTTGGGAACTGGCAAACCAAGGAAGACCCTGATAGAAGATATTAGCCCCACAACACTGATAACCAAAAGAGGGCTAGGACATACCGCGAGGGCGAGTTTAGCTGGGTCGAGCTTGAAGTTCTCGTCCAAGATAGCGAGCTGATTGTAGCGGGTGCCGTTCTCATAGAATAGAGTCTGGGACAGGAACGGGAAGCTCTGTCCGTTCCAAACATTCATCGCGTAGCAAGCGCAGAAAGCGATCCTTGCAGACATCGGATATCGTCAGTTACGAATTAATGATCCCGGGAGAAGACATACATGCAGATGGCTGTTCCCGAGTACAAGGAAAGTTGAGTAGATATGGGCGTGAAGAGCGCGCCAAGGGAACCACCACCTGATCCGACGTAGTTCCAGTCAAGGCATAGAGCAAAGGCACCAAGGCCTTCGTTACCAGCGGCCCCACCTAAAGTGAAGGGATGAGCAACCCATGCGTAACAGAAAGTATAAGCTTACCAAAGACACGAGTGAACCACGCGCTGTTCTGGTTGGCAAGGCAGAAGATACTAATGCCCGTCAAAGTGCTACGAGGAACATAATCAACTACAAGTATTGAAAGGCGTAAAATAAGAACCCACGGTGCGATATACTCGGGGAACCACTCCCAAACAAAGATTCCGACAAACACCAACCAGAAAAATTTGACACGCTTCTTCTGGAGCATCATCTTCTGGCCACGATGAAGCGCATCGAAGAGCTGAACGGTGGGCAGAAGATTAGGGAAAACGATGTAGGTGGGGTACACAAGGAATGAGCGCATGACGCCTCCAAGGCCGTAACCCATCAACTGTGAGCCTATTTTGTCGTCAGAAGTACGATCAACGCTGGCATAAGGATGAGTAACTCACCAATCAGGGTGAAAATACCTACACCAGCATTGGGCTAAGTGCGAGCAGTTGAGTATCGAAGTGAGAGTGATAAGACATCAACAATACCTGGATGTGGTAATAGAGGTCGTCAGCGGCAAAGATATTGATGGCAAGGGCAGAATCAGCGGCGGTCGAGGCGAAGATGGTGATCGCGACGTGCTCCTTCAAGTCTAGGGTGTCGAAATATGAAATGTAAAGTATCCTCTTCGAGCGCGATTACGTACTGAATGGGCCGGGGTTCATGAATCGCCAGAACCGAGAGTCCTTCGTCTGGAGCCTGGCGTGCGCGTTTCCGGGGCCAGGAATGATCTCTTCCAGGACTTTGCCAAGGATATAGCCTATGATTTGGATGAACAGTTGACTGACGAATACAGTCTGCGGTCTGAAGTACTGAAGGGATAGGGTCGGCATTAGAACACGAATGCAAGGGCATAGCGAAGGCTTCATTCTTACGAAAATCTGGCCTAAAACTGCGCCAAAGCAAGACAAGCCCAGACCCAAGAAAGACGTGCGGAACGTGAATGAGGGGAGGGTGGGGTCGTCCTCCAGAGAGATAAGACGTGTAGCAACGTCGATATCCGTCTCTGTGGCCACGTTAGTCAAGCCACATGAGCTCAAGGAGCGTTACATACCAATCGGCCGCTCTTTACCATCCTCGCCCATGTCGATGGACCGGATATCATCGTAGACATCTCCCTTAATGGACTCTGCGACGTCGATAGAGGAACGTTCAGCCTTCTCGTCGAGCTTCTCTTCGCTATAGGAGGCCTTGCGTTCAAGATCTGCCCGAGCGTTGAGCTCAGGTAGGGCGTCGTGAGTCGCCATGGAGGGCCTGAATCAACCGGAGAGAGTTGACAGAGGGTGGTTCAGTAATGATCGCGCTCTCTTTTATGTGTCGCGCACAAGCAGCGAAATGGACCAGCACATGGTTTCATCTGCTCCACCAACGCCATCCAGGGGTACCAATAGCCTTATCGGTTGCTTGGCAGGAAGGAAGGTTTGCCAAGTTGACTTTGGGGAATTGTTCCATTGGGATGTATCCGTCTGTTTAGATCCCCGGTCAGCGCTGGCGACGCTTCTTCTTGTGGCAGAAGACCAGCAACATAGCACCACGACACGTACTTGTGTAATTGCTAGCCTTCTCGATGGCGCGAGACCCAGAAGCAGCCTGAGATGACGAATCATTTAAGGAGTCCTCTAGAATCGGTTCTCGACACGAAGGGCACGGAGAACTATACAACCCTTGCCCTGACAGCGCGGACCCCTAGCGGACGCTGTTAACAAGAGACACAAGTATGTCCGACATCGCTAGCACAGTATGGTAAGTCCAGATCTCTTGATGTGTTCAGCGCATGATAACCACTGGCATAAATAAGTGTCAACATGTTATACGAATGTGTCGGTGTCGTTCAGTTCTGGTCGCGCATCGTTACATCGTATAAGAAAGTCTCTACGACCTGTTCAAGTCTTGGGCCCTCTTGCCACACCATTGGTTTCAATGTCGTTCAGAGACGGGATGGAAGAGGATGTCGGTACACAAGCGTCAACACTCTCGAAAAGCTCGACTACCTCAGACTACCTCCCACGGTCGCTTTCTCCATCATCGCCAAGCAATCCGAATAGCTGGCAAGCGAACCCTTGAAAACTGCAGAGCAGAGTTTTGACTTGGTTTTAACAATCCCTTGTGGGGTCCACTGCTAAACGGATTTTGTGTCGCCCATACGGCTCATCGTCCAGGCCGCCAACCCCACCTCACCTCGACTACCAAGACTCAACAGTTCAAAGACGACGAGATGATGTTAATGATGTCAACAGAATTAGCCATTCGCTCTTGACTGGGAAATAACGCTGCGATAAAGGCTGAAAGCAGGTCCGTTACGTTGTACGTTCAATGCGTCGCTTATGCTCAATATGTCCGCCTGTGCCACGAAGAAGCGTGAGTGACTTGTCAGACGACCAGCGCACCATGCGGTTCACCCGCGACGTCCTATTCAGTCTGTGGCGAATCTTTCGGACGCATCTCGCCACGATCACACACTCGTGTCTAGATCTCTTGTCCTCGATGGTCTGCCGTGCCCTCGAACAAGTTCTCATCTTCCTTTGACTTGACAGGTCTTCTCACTTCTACACCAGTCCACAGAACCAGATGGTTTACCGGTCATTCTGAACTCATATAAAGCCTGACTAACAACTCTAGCTGTTTGATCATTGATTGGCTTTGAGCGCTCAAAATCAACGCCTTTCTGGACACGCGACAGGACTGACATCGCTTCAGCTGACGGGTCTCACGGGTCCGGTAAGCTCGATGCGTGCAAAGCTGCCATCGGTCCCGTAACGATCGTGTATGTCGCATAGTCGCGCATGACCAAAGGAGTCTCCATGACAAGGTCTAACGTCGATGGGAGATGGGCTTGGGTATTGGCTTGGCTGGAATGCCAGGGCGCATCGCTGAGGTGAGCACGCGATTGCTCGAATGATATGATATACAAGTAATCTCAAATCGCTATGCCAAGGACCGCATCGGCCAGTTGGTTTTGGATCCCCACGCCTCTTGGAATATTTTATAGGAGGTCGTTCCGGATTTCCAGACCTCTTACGACGTGAAAATCGACAGCTGATAACTTCGTGTCTGGAGCGCGATATGGAAGTCATAACCTAGTCTTCCCTGTTCATCATCATCTTCGCATGTTCCTTGTTCAACGGAAAGAAGAGTCTTGTGCCTTTCCTTATTAATTATTGGCCCGTCCATCCTGATCCTCTGCAATTCCAGATCGGCATCAACTCACATGACCGCATACCATGAAGATGACATACGTCCTCCTTCTCCAGAATCTGTCTCCGATGTTCGCGCAAGTTCCCTGTCATCTGCAATCCTCCTTACTCCTGTTCGTCGGGTTCGACGCTCTGTTTTATCATGCCATGCAAGCACCTTGAATGCTCTCAACCACACTGTCTCCGCTTCATATAACTGACGATGGTCTCGAGACTGGAACTTCCACCGTCAGCATACCGTATAAGCGGGAAACCACAACCGCACACGATATGAACGACAGGATTCGATGCGATTTACGTGATGCATAAAATAACATGATGATCGACCTATACGGACTAAGAGCCTGGGAACGCCAAAACAAAAGGTATGAACACGGACTCGGATCTGAATCGAACGGGGAGGTTGCATGGGCCGATATGAGGTGGTAAGGAAGGCGACCCTCCTCCGTGCTCGACAAGGTGTTGAAAAGTATCGCCAGGCCGTCAGCGGATGCCCCCAACCTGAATCGAACAGGAACCCACCAGGCAGAGGAAGGTATTTGGAGATGGAGACTGCTATACTAGACGCGCTTGAGGATTATCTCATGATTCCTCATAAACCTTCGACGACTGGGTGCTGCGCTTGAGCATCAGCGATGGATAGCAGGAATCCGTCCGTACGTAGATCAATGACAACTTAATCGTCAAGGAGAAGTTTGTGCCTGATGGAAACAGCCAGACTGAGGGTGATTGGCGAGTATTCTGGGATTATGTATAGGTTGCATACCAAGCTCGCTCAGCAGCGTGATACTGCGCGTTGGCGATGGTTAAGGAGTAGAAATCTAGGAGTACATCGACAACGATGATTCCCCGATCTAATCTAATCTGTTTAGTCGCTCTTACCCTCTTCTTCCTATTCCGAAAACGTCTCTTCGAGCGCGGACCATCACACGATGCCTCTCTGGCTAAACCGCCATGCGCATGAGGTGAATTTATTGCATTTGGTTCTTATAAATTTGGTCGTTGATCTTTCCATACGAATGCGTGGGCTGGGACTTTATGTTTCGTCTGAGTCGAACGGATCCAGCCAAAATAAGGCGTCGGGCGGGCACCGACTCTAAAATCGCTGGTCGATGGTATTAGCTCTACAGGTGTTTACTTGTATGTCTCTTTGCCAAGCATTAATGGGGTAGTGGTAACCTGGGTCGTTGCCATACTGCTTGCGATCTAGATCTAGACAATTAGCTCGACCCGCCGGGGGTTCGATTCCCTCTTAATGCATGCAAGTGAAGAAAATCCTGCTTTTTAGCATCGATAACCGGGATGGCTGGTTTCAGTTCAGGCACTGCAGACCACCCTGAGCACGCAAAGTTTTGTGGTATAGATTGTTTTGATCAAGGAGCCACGCCGATCCTCAAGGCTATACAATGTAGCATGCGATTCCAGCACATATCTAGCTGATCATGGACATCAAGAGGATGATTGCGTGATCTAATCTAATCTGTTTACTGACTCTAAATGTCACGTCAGTGAAATTGACATCCTCAAGCTGCTATCTGCATCCATCAATTGTCGGGATCGCACGTCTGGACGGTGAATATTCCCAGTGGTCGAGCGCAAAATGCTCGACCCGCTCTTTCCACTCTCTTTCCTGTTCTCATCATTGTGTTTCTCGGGCAGGCAAGGCGACCATTGATCGTCATCATCATCAGTGGCGATACCCTCTTGGCCTCCAGTTTCAGCCTCAACCCAAGTACGCCCAGCCCGCTCCGCACACGTTACACCCTACGTATCTTCTCGTCCCGGCCGGCATACACGGTGCGTATGCCTCGTTTCCATGACTCCCGTTTCCGGAGATACTAACCGATGACCCGCACCGCAGTCCTTGACCAGCGACGCCCACCATGTCCACCCCCCTGCGCACAAAACGCAACTTCAAGTCCCTCCAGCTCCCCGTCGACGACCCCATCGACCCCACACCCGCCCCCTTACCCGTCCCCACCCGCCTCGCCCCCGCCGGCCCCCAGCCCCAGCCCAACAAACGCCGCCCCCCACCACTCGGCGACGCCCCGCCCGTCCAAGGCTTCCTCTCCCCCTCCGGCCCAGGCCTCGACTCCGCCATCGGCTCGGGCGTCGGGAGCGGACGGCACAGCGCCCTCCACGCTACGCTCGCCAAGATGGAGCTGCACGCGCCGTCGGTGGAGATTAGCGATCTTAAGAATGCGGATTTGAGGAATATGGCGGAGCTGGGGCAGGGGAATGGGGGGAGCGTGATGAAGGTGGAGCATGTGCCTAGTGGGACTGTCATGGCCAAGAAGGTGTGTCTCCTCTCCTCCTCTAATTTATGTTGGGTTGGGTTGGGGTATGGACTCAGCTGATGGTGGTATAGATCGTCCTCATCGACGCGAAACCCTCAGTGCGCAAGCAAATCCTACGCGAGCTCCAAATCATGCACTCCTGCAAATCGCCCTACATCGTCTCCTCCTACGGCGCCTTCCTCGCCGAGCCCAACATCTGCATCTGCATGGAGTTCATGGACAAAGGCTCCTTCGACGGGATCTACAAGACCATCGGCGCCATCGATATCGAGGTCGTGAGGCAGGTCGCGCATGCGGTGCTGGAGGGGCTGATGTATTTGTATGACGTGCATCGGATTATACACCGTGACATTAAGCCTTCGAATATATTGTGTAACTCGCAGGGCCAGATCAAGCTGTGCGACTTTGGTGTGTCGGGCGAGCTGATCAACTCTATTGCGCATACGTTCGTCGGGACCTCCATATACATGAGTGTGCGTGCCCTTCCTCCCTTCCTTCCCTTCCTTCCCTTCATGCTAACACACCCAAACAGCCGGAACGCATCCAAGGCGCCGAATACTCCGTCAAATCCGACGTCTGGTCCCTCGGCATCTCCCTCATCGAGCTCGCCCTCGGCCGCTTCCCCTTCTCCGACCCCGACGACTCCGACGACTCCGACCTCGACTCCTTCCCCCCCCACTCCTCCCACACCGACCTATCCAAAACAGCTACCCACCGCGACTCTCTCCTTCTCCCCCCTTCCACCTCCTCCACCTCGCCGAGTTCTGGAAAGACAGCACGACGAAGAAGTGGGGGAGGGAACGGGAAGAGAAAGAGCAGGGGGGTGAGCCTGCACGGGGAGGGCATGACGATGTCGATTATTGAGCTGATGCACCAGATTGTGAAGGAGCCGGCGCCGAGGCTGGGTCCGGAGGGGAGGTTTGGGAGGGAGGAGGAGGAGTTTGTGGATGCGTGTTTGGAGAAGGATCCGGAGGTGAGGAGGACGCCGAAGGAGCTTTTGGTGGGTTCTTCTTTTTTTGTTCTTCTTGATTTCTTTCTTGGGGGTTGGTGGGGGTGTGAGGATTTTGGGTTGGAGCTGACGTTCGTTTTTGGTTGTAGGCGTTCGCGTGGATGGATCGGGCGAGGGAGAGTACCTTTGATTTGAGAGAGTGGGCGGGGACGTTTTGATCCAGAGGTGCGGTCTGGTTCGGGAGGTTCTCGTGTGTGTGTTTTTGTGGATGTGGATGGGATGTATATCTAGGAGAGGATATACCACGTATCGTGTATTGTATATAATTACCCAAATTCTGATATCATGGATGGAGCGAAAACGGTTCAACTTCCAAGTTCTGAGTGCACGGGAGTTCTGAGTTGGAAGGGGCTTATGTGGGGTCTACATATGAACTTTGGACGCTGGACCCCACGATGTCGGTTCATATATGTGTAGCCAGATATCGTTGTGGGCTAGATTAAAATACGGTGTCGTTGAGTGACACTCATGCACATTGCAGGTTACTAAGGCTCCAACCGTACTATCTATTTACCATATATATACAGTAGATACCGTATATGTTTACGTATATGTATAGGCCTGCTTCGAAAAATTGTCCTATACAGTAGATATACAGTATAGTATATGATTATACTGTTAATTTTTCCCCTACAGAAATCAGTGACTTTCCTGTGGCCTAGATTGATGTCGCAGTGATAAGTCGCAATCGAGGAGGTGTCAGAGAATGACGATAGAATGAGGGGCGTTTGTGGACGAGGCGTAATCAAAAACACCTCTCGGATCGGGCTTGGCCTATTTTTAGATCGTCCACTTCAAAATTGTAACGCGTTCTGCGCGTCCTTATGTCATATCTCAGTGACAAGTCTCATTGTTTGTGAGTAGAGCTTCAGGTTTCTTTCTAGACTGTCAGGTCAGACACCGGACAATGCAGGGAATTGTAGATAATCACGTAGTAAGTAAACCTTAGAGTCCAGACACGGTGTGTAAGACGACTATATTGACCTGTAGATAATCACGTAGTAAGTAAACTACGAGGTCAATCAGTAAATGTAACTAAGGTAGAAGTAAGGTAAGAATGCTCACCCTTAGAGTCCAGACACGGTGTGTAAGACGACTAAGGGTGGCTGGTGTAGGTACGTCGAGTATGTACACGAAAAGAATAAAGTTCATGTAAAGACTGGTAAATATGAGCCGGCATAACTGAATTGAATAGAGTACTCGATGCGCGGCATCGAGGCGTATAGAATATGCGAGGTCTAAATATAATGTCCGTTGTGATAAGATAAGGAATAAGTGAGACGTATCTTTATTAGGGTTATGGTAAGTCCATCACCAACACTCCCCCGGACGTGCATAACCCTACTTGAGGCGAAGGAGGTCGACCATGTGCTCGTGGGTCACCCGCGGGAGAGGCTTCGTGAAGATGTCGGCGATGTTTTCGGAGGAAGGAATGTGGATTACTTCGATGTCGCCGTCCGCTACGCGCTCGCGAATATAATGATACCGGATGTCGATATGTTTTGCGCGGGTGTGACCCTTGGTCGATTGAGTGAGGGCGATGGCGGATGTGTTGTCGCAGCGAATGATGGCAGGAAGTGGCTGAGGAAGGTCGATCTCCACCAGGGAGTTGTGAATCCAGAGAGCGTTTTGTGCGCTACGTGTCAAGGCCATGTATTCCGCCTCTGTGGTGGAAAGGGCTACTGTGGGTTGACGATGGGAGCTCCATGACACAGGCCCTCCTGCCATCATGAAGACATACCCGCTCGTCGAGCGCCGAGTGTCGTAGTCTCCAGCGTAGTCGGCATCGACGAACCCGACGGGTTTCATGCCGCCCTCAACCTTGCTGTAGGTAATGCGATAGTCGAGGGTACCCTTGATGTATCCAAGTACATGGATCATCGCGCGCCAGTGGGTAGGTCCAGGGTTAGACTGGAAGCGCGCCAGTAGCCCCACGGCGAAGGAGATATCCGGGCGTGTAGCGACTTGGGCCCACATGAGCGACCCGAGTACCTCGCGGTATGGCTTGTCCTTCATGTACTGACGGTCGGCGTCGGTGCGAGGGCATTGGGATGCGTCGAGATGGATGCCGGTAGGAAGGGGAGTGGAGTGTGGGTTCGAGTCGGCCATGCCAAAACGCTCGAGGACACGCTCGAGGTAAGCGCGCTGAGATAAGGAGATCGCACCGGTGCTCGCATCGCGGTCTACGCGCATGCCTAAGATATACTTGGGCTCCCCCAAGTCCTTGATCTCGTATTCCTCCGATAACTCCCTCTTCGCCACCTCTGATCCCTTGGTAGTGGACGAGATTCCGAATATGTCGTCGGTGAATGTGCAGGTGATGGTGCGTTCGGTTCCGACGAGTTTCCAGCGGACACAGCTGTCTGCGCGCGAGGGAGTGTAGCCGATCTTGGCGTATGAGCGGTCGAGAGTGTGCCACCAGTCGTAACCCCCTTGCATCATGCCGTAAAGGGTTTTCTGTAGTAAGCATACATTATCCTCCCCCCCCAGGGAACCCTGGCGGCACCCGCATGTAGACGACATGGTCCAAGACACTGTTCAGGTACGCTGAGACGAAATCTACCTGCCAAATCTGCAACCCCAGCTGCGCTGCAATAGCCGCCGTCATCCGCATAGACTCCAGCCTAACCACCGACGCGTATGTCTCGTCGAAATCCTCCCCCTGAACCTGGGCGAAACCCTTCGCGACGAGGCGAGCCTTCCGCTTGACTATGTTCCCATCTGCATCATATTTGTGGGCATAGACCCACATGCACCCTATAACCTTCTTCCCGGGCGGCACGGACGACGCTGGGACCAGGCGAAAGACCTCCCGCTCCTTCAACACCTTCAACTCCGTGTCCATCGGCGCCTGCCAAAGATCTGGTCGCCGCATGGCCTCCCCGTAATGTTTCGGGAGGTAAGTGTCAGAGAGCGTGGATGCGGCGGTGTCGAGTGATGCGAGGAACGCCTGGCAGTCCTCGGTCATAAACGCGCGAGGGCGCTTGTGGTCACGGGCCCAATCCTCTCCAGCAGTACGCGCTGCGTCCTCCATGGCCTGAGACTCGCGAGTGGCAATGATCGCGTCTGTGGGCGCGGCATTTCGACGTGTCCGACGTAGTGCAAGAGGTAGGTCCTCCTCTCGTGGTTCCTGTGGAGGAAGAGGGGGTGTCGGTGTCGGCGGTGGTTGTGCGCCTGTGGCAGGAGGGTCTGGTGCGGCGGGATGAAGTGGACCATCAGTGATGCGAATGCGAGGGGCGATGGGTTGTTTTGCGGGGATAACACCGGGGACGTTGGGGTTGGCAGTGGGTGGGATACGTGAGAGAAGGTCGTCGTCGGTGTGTAGGGTGATAGCGCGGTGGCCGAGACCTTCCTCGAAGATCACGTCACGGCTGGTAATAATAGCCCGAGACCCTCGATCATACAATTTGTATCCGCTATCAGAATAGCCGACCATGACGTACTTGATCGATCGGGGGTCCAATTTGGACACGACGAGCTCCTCGGGAACTTTAGCAAACGCGGTGCAGCCGAATGGACGTAAGTGGGCGACACCTTGGCGCTTCCTGGTCCAGGCCTCCTCTGGCACACGGTCAGGGTGACGTGACGACGGGATTAAGTTCCGAACTGTAACCGCTGTAGAGCCCGCCTCAGCCCACAGAGGCTTCGCAAGTCCGCTATCGGTAAGCATGCAGCGCACCGCCTCAATGATCGTACGTATCGAGCGCTCAGCGAGCCCGTTCTGTGGGTGGGCGTAGGGTGTGCTGATCTCTAGGATGATGCCGTGTTCGCCGCAGTAGTCAAACCACAGGGCATTGATCCATTCCCTGCCAGCATCAATTCGGCAACGCAGGAGCTTCTGACCGGTTTGGCGCTCGGATTCGACGTGGTAAGATTTGAACGCTGACAGTGTCGTGATGGCGTCCTTCTTTGATAGGTAAAAGCTCCGCATGCGCGACGTCCCACCATCGACCACCAGCATCATGTACCAGGCTCCCCCGAGCGAGGCAACACTGGCGGGACCCCACAGGTCGATATGGCACCGTTCGTTGGCCTCGGTCTCGGGAACGACTACCCCGTCGTATGGGCGCGCCGCGTGTTTCCCATACACGCAATCTTCGCACAGCCCGGCGACTTCCATGTCACCTCGGACATTCAGTCCGTCCACTAACCCCTTCCTAACCAGGTTCCTCAAACCGCTAACGCCGGCGTGACCGAATCGGCGGTGCCAGACGTCCATGTCCACGGGTACAGCAAGGGAACGCGCAACCATAGCCCTGGTTTGCTTAGCGACGAAGGTAAGTCGGTACATCCCGTCCTTCCCTTCCCCCACCATGAAGACTCTGCCGGCTGGGTCAGCGAATGTCGCTTTTCCCGATGAAAAGGTGACCGTGAACCCCGCTGCGTCGAATTTGCCAATTGATATAAGATTCGCAGCGAGGTCGGGGGTGTGTAGCGCGGATTTGAACACCAGGTCTGATTCGGCGCCGTTAACCACGACGGTTTTCGTCACAGTCCCCCGCCCAATAATGCGGAAAGTACCATCCTTGTCTGCAGGCTGGCCCTGGCGCGGAGTGGTGAACGACTCATAGTCAGAGAAGTCCGATCTCACGACGAAGCAGTGATCGCTAGCGCCGGAGTCCGCGTACGTCTGGATCTCCCCCGACGTCATCATGGCTATGTGATTCTGGGACAGGTATGCGTCGGCAAGATCGAAGAACGCGGCTGGTGTGAATTGAGCGTATGTGGTGGGGTTTGTGAGAGCGGATAGGGCATAGGTAACGCGTGAGGTGTTTTGGGGAGTGGTATTCGCGTTCTGCGTGGTAGTGTTCGCGACAGCCGCTACTGGGGTAGTGGTAGGTGGGTTTGGTGTCCCGGTACGTGCACGGCTTCGGAAGTTCGGCGGGAATTGACCCTCCTTGCCTCCTCCCTTCCAATAGCACTCGTCGATAGTGTGTCCCTTTCGTTCGCAATTGGTGTTGATGCAAACGAGGCCTGACTTGTCGGTTTTGTGGGAACGGGAATGGTTTGACGAAGCTTTGAGGGCAGTCGTAGCCGTGCCTGCAGGTGGGTTCTCTTTTGTTTCGATCTGCCAGTGGAGGTGTAATGCTGCAATAGCAGCGGCGGACGTTTTAGTGGTATGGAGGGTAGATATTACGATGTTCCATGATCGCGGAAGTGATCCTATAACGATTGCCCGGAAGCTCTTATCGTCGATCGCTGCCCCTTGCTCGACGGCGGTATTCCATTTTGTACGGAGGTCTGCGACGTGTGCCGGGAAATCTGCCCCGTCGGAGTACATGGTGGTACGGAGGGATTTCTCTGCAGCGGCGGCGGCGAGCTTGCATGTGGAGCCGTAGAGCTCGGTGAGTCCTTCCCAGGCCTCGGCGGCGGTTCCGTCCTGTTTAACACCTAGTCCCACAGGGTTCGTGGTATTGAACGAGATGAGTGCGAGTACCCAGGCGTCTCGAGTTTCCCACTCGTTGACTGATGGGGTGGTCGACGTCCAGTCTGTTGGCTCAGGAGGTAAAGCGCCGAGTGGGGGTGGGGATGGTTTTGGAATGGGGACAGGTATTTTGTCGAGGTATCCTCGGGCGCCTGCAGCGCGCGCCGCGAGTAAAATGCGTCTCTTGAACGCCACGAAGTTTTGGCCGTCAAACTGCTCGGCGGTTGGGAAAATAGGTGTAGAAACCGGTTTAGACATTTTTAATGTATGTGGGGTGTGTGCGCAGGGTAATGTTTGAGACCGTCTAGGGATGTGTCTGGTGTGAAATCACAGAAGCTAACGTGGCCCGATAACCTGTAGATAATCACGTAGTAAGTAAACCTTAGAGTCCAGACACGGTGTGTAAGACGACTATATTGACCTGTAGATAATCACGTAGTAAGTAAACTACGAGGTCAATCAGTAAATGTAACTAAGGTAGAAGTAAGGTAAGAATGCTCACCCTTAGAGTCCAGACACGGTGTGTAAGACGACTAAGGGTGGCTGGTGTAGGTACGTCGAGTATGTACACGAAAAGAATAAAGTTCATGTAAAGACTGGTAAATATGAGCCGGCATAACTGAATTGAATAGAGTACTCGATGCGCGGCATCGAGGCGTATAGAATATGCGAGGTCTAAATATAATGTCCGTTGTGATAAGATAAGGAATAAGTGAGACGTATCTTTATTAGGGTTATGGTAAGTCCATCACCAACAGGAATATGTCCCTTCCAGATTCAAGCAATTCTCAACTTATTATATGTCCAGGTTGATTGGAGACTGGTCGTCCACCGCATAGCAATTTGATGCTTAAAAATTTGAGGTAGCTTTGTAATCTCTACCTCCGTCCTCCCCCCATCGCGGATCTCAGGAGCTCCTTGAAGGCCGAGACAATCAGTCAAGCTCCCGTTGTCGAAGATATGGATTCGGTCGGCGTTATTTGATGTCAACGAGCCCCACCAGTTCCGCTCAAAAAGCATGGCTCGATTTGACCCTATAACAACTGTCTACATCATACCGTATAACCATATATATACTGTAAATACACACTATAAAACTGTATCTGTATATCTACCCCCTCCGCCGTATACGGATACAGTACGGTTGGAGCCTTACCTGAGGTTACTCAGGCTGTCAAAAGCTGAAGCATAATCATGTGTCGAGATCGAAAAAGGTAACAGACTAGGAGAGGCATAGTCCCGACGGTGGTTCGAACACCGGACCCTGCGATAACCTTGTACTGCAATCGCATGCTATACCACTTAGCTATCGAGACTGGTACCCGTGGGGGTTCGCTACGTGAGGATTTTGGTCTTTATGTGCGGCCCCCAGGTCGTCTGGGAGGCGTAGGTGAACTTGAAGAGATATAGTCGGGGCCCGGGGAGAGCTTGGAGATGGGGGTGGGTTGTTGATTGGAACCGCCTGCTCCGGGGAACTTTACGTGTCGAGTGTGGTCTCCAGTCTCGACTCTCCAGAGCTGAGAGGAATCATCAGTCCTTGCCTGAGCTCTCACTACCTCAGGATTTACGTCCCAGGCTCATGATCAGGATTCAGTATGAGCTCTCAGATCTCAAGTCTTGAGCCATCCAGCCATCCCGGCTACCAATGCTAAAAAAGTATTGACACCTTCAATCATTGCATTAAGAGGGAATCGAACCCCCGGCGGGTCGAGTTAAGGATGCGTGCAATGATGGCAACGACCCAGGTTACCACTACCCCATTAATGCTTGTGAAGTCAACATACAAGTAAGCACCTACAGAATGAGGGCGTCCGTTCTCTCGTTCTCTCGTCCTCTTGTCCTTTGCGGCCATTCCAACTTCCATCGGTATTCAACTTCGTGAGCGGGAGCCATACCGTCAACCGGCGATTTCAGATTCAATGACCCCCTACCCGCATTTCGGCTGTGTCCGTTCAACTCATATGATACATGTCCTGGCACCTCCATTATTAAAAGTCACACTAGCGGCACCCTTTTAAATGGGCAGCACGGTAGTGCTGCGGTAAAATAGCATCAAGAGCCTATGCAGCGTGGAAGTAGTCCGATAGTGACTCTGAAGGACAGGTGCGCCAAAGTGCAAGGAAAACAATAAGTTTAAGTTTTGCCACAACAGTACTAGGCTCATGGGTAACGGGAGCGGGGGCTGGGGAGGAGGACTAATATTGGTGGTTGATGTGGTATGAATGCGATAACGAACAAGCACTGAAGCAGGTGTTGGCTGGTTCAGTTCAGAGTCCACGCGCCTTGATAAGCTTCATACCTAATACCGTTACGACCACACCTTGGACTGCTGCATTCACGCAGAGTCCCGATCAAGAGTCACGAGATGACCCAGGCCATTTCGTGCCAAAACGTACCGACAAAACAATGGGAATCGGGTTTTGAACCAATTTTGAACCGCCAGATACGGTGGTGATTCAGGTCCAAGGAGCCCCCAGATTTGGAGAAGATCCATATCACTGGCGCGACTGATGTGCAGATGCAGTGGTTGATGGAGCATTGGAATAAATAGCGATGAATAGCTCGATACAGGAGCGGCCGACGATGCTCCAACACCATCATCTCCTCCATCTCGTCCTCTTCATCTGCTCTTTTCTCCCCTCGCTTATCACCTCCCAATGGGCTGACAGCTACTACGCAGGTACTCAATACATCTTCTACAACGGTACCATCTCCGGCCGCTTCGTCCATCCTCCCAGCCAGTCAAGCTGTCCTGACTACCACCTCGGTCCCCATGCACTCACCTCTCTCTTTGTCGGCGTCAACCCTCCTTGGGATGCTAATCCCTTCTTCTTCGACCTCTACCACATCTCCTCTGAAGGTCTCCCATACACCTACGACTCAATATACAACCTGGAATTCACCACCGCCGCGTACGTCTGTAGGAAATATGGTCAGCCATGTAGGAGCGTCGAGTTCATGCCGTTTTATCATCTGCCGGTGGAGATGGTGAATTTGAAGAACGCGAAGGTGGAGAGGGTGACCGTGGGTGCGGAAACGGGATATCGTGTGAGAGGCGACGAGAAGACTTGGGTTGGCAATGGGACGGTTAACGATGACCTCGAAGTCACGATACCCCTTGGTGTTACCGAGCAGGATGAGTGTATGGGCAGCCTACATTATACGTGGTACGTTGGTCGCAATTCCCCATTTCGATCACCTCTCTTTCTCGATCCTGAATACATATGAAAGAGCCTAAACTAACCAGGTAATGCCCTGCTCAGGAACTCATCCATACCATTCACATACGACATGAGATTTTCCAACACCACCGCTTCCGCGACCTTCTTCCTCAATGCCCCATACGGCGCTCTGACCCTCCAGTTCTCTGGCGATCGAGAAGACAGTCGACCGCGTTACTCGCCGTTCGGCCCGTTCCCTGCCATCGGATTAGACACTTCCGATCCGCGTAAACCGACTTTTACATACTCGAATGGGACCGCCTTCTCATTCGTCAATGACCCGTATGATGGGCGGTGGTACGCTACAGCGCCGCGGCCTTCCGCCACAGCGTCTTCTTCCGCTCCAGCGTCTCAGTCTTCCCAAGACAACGCGGCACTGAATGGGAGTGCACGGTATCCGATGATCTGTTGGGCGTTTGGGGTCACCACTTTGGTTGCCTTTGTGGTTTAAGGAGCAACTTCAATTTCCTTGAATGCTCTATCTGTCTTGTGTTTTCTTGTCGGCGCGGTTCCGCTTTACGACCTTTTATGACTGGCACTTCTCAGTGTTCTCATGTTGTTGAATGATGATTTGGTTTTAGGCGCCATTCCAATCATCGGTACTCAATTTCGTGAGCGGGAGCCATACGATCAACCAGCGATTTTAGATTCAATGACCCCCTACTCGCATTTCGGCTGGGTCTGTCGAAACCAGATGAAACATAAAATCCAAGCCAGCGCAGTCATACTAATATTCAAGCATAGACAACAAAATCTATAAGAACAAAGTGCGATAAATTCCCCTCGTGCGGATGGCTGCCGAGCCAGAGAAGCATCGAGCGATGAATCGCACTTGAAGAGGCGTTTTCCTCGGAAGTATGTATCCAGACCTTTCCTACCACCAGTTCAGCCAGCAAAGGGCCACGATGCAGTGGTGCGAACAAGAGTCATCGAGCCCCGCTGGACGACGAAGTCGTCCTCAGGTTCACGACCAGTAGAGAGTGGGAACCATAACACCATTCCATAGAAATACAATACAACAGATCCTTCCCCGCCTGACCAACATACACTGACAGTTCTACACAGCAAACACCTCCGTATGCAACCCCACCTCCCTCCCCCTCGCCTTACACCCCGCAACAGCATTCGCCGCCTCCCTCGTCAACCCCTCCGGCCCACTCGCACACACCGCCAGCCTCCCCTCAAACCTCCCCCCTCCACCCCTCCCCAGTTCCAGTTTCTCCACATCCCCCACTCCATCAACACATCCACATCCACACAACTCCTCCTCGCTCCCACCCACACTCTTCCCCCCCTCCCCACCCACATCATCATCCACACCCACATCAAGCCCCGCCATCCCCCTTACGAGCCTCCCCATCTCCGGCCGTCCCCCAACGCGCACCTCCAGCCCCGGAATCCCCACCTCCTCAGGCGAACACATGCACGTCACATACACCGTCATCCGGAGGGCCACCATCGATCCTGGGGCGGCTGCGGCGAGGGCGAGGGCGCGCAGGAGCGGGGCGAACCATTTGATGGAGCCGAAGGAGCGTGTGCACCACACGAAATGCACATTTCTCGTCTTCACATTCCTCCTCCGAGCAGCAGCGACGATCCCATCCATCAGCCCAACAGCAAACGTCGCCCCGCTCCCACCCGCTACCAACACCACCCGCTCATACTCCCCCAGCTCCAGCGAACACCCGCCATACGGCCCGTCGAACATCACCTGCACCGGTATGGGTACAGGCTTTCTATTTCTGAGGACCCCAACGAGCACAGATACCGACGGGCCCGCTCCTCCTCCTTCTTCTTCGATGTCGGCGGCGAGCGCCTCCTCCTCTTGCTTCGAAGCGTACTCGTTGAGCGCCTTAGTCCAGTCACCCACCACCCGAGCCCCAAGCACCACCCCCGCCCTACCCAACTCCCTCCCCCCCTCCTCATAGCGATAATACCCCGCCACGTCCCCCGCGCTTAGGCACGTCCCCTCGCTCCCAGACGCGGACGGTGCGCACATGACACTAAGCGGATGCGCCTCGAACGCCCGCCCGCCAAAGAACACGCGGAGGCGCAGGTGCTGCCCCGCGCGGAAGCCGGCGTCACAGTCTGGTATATGTATCTGCAGGGTAAAAAGGTTCATGTAAGGCTCCCCGACATAGTAAGAAAAAGAGAGGACGAAAAACGCACGAGTGTCATTTGATTATCCACCCTGATAAGCTGCGCGTCCTTCAGCCTAAACCGGCCCGCACGCATCAGGACGTCGAACGCATATATCGCAATAGGCGGGAATATCCACGGCGCCGCATATATCGTATGATAGCACACCGTAATGAAGAACGCCGGGACCGCCAAAAAGCTACCCAACACCAACCATCAACCCATGCCAAAAGAAAGCTTCCAAGGAAGAACTCACTGCACCCAATAAAACACGCCCCACGCCCACACCCTCACCGGCCTCAAACTACTAACAACAATCACCCCCATCACCCCCAGCGCCGCCACCCCACTCCCCTCCTTCTGCTGCCCCACAATCGGCATATCCCACTCCACATGATTCCTAATCCACAGCGCCCCATGCACCAGCGCCGCCAGCCCCATCGTCCGTCCAGCCCAGCGGTGCAGGGCATTAAGCCGTGTGTAGGCGAAGAACGGCGGGAGGAGGAGGGAGAGCGGGGTGTTCTTGGAGGCGAGGAGGAATATGGGGGGGAGCTGGGCGAGGGCGAGGAAGCCCGCGCGGTTGGAGTTGGAGAGGAGGGGGGCGGAGGTGCAGATGCAGGCTAGGACGGTGGAGGAGTAGGCTGTGATTAAGAGGACTGCGGAGGAGAGGTTAGGGTTGGGGCACGGAGGGGGGAGGGGGGAGGACGTACTTTGACCAGCGTTGAGCCCGATGCCGGGCGGTGTCCAGTAGATAACGGAGCCGAGCGCTGAGAGAACCCTCGCAATGATGACATGGCTTTTCCGTCTCTGCGGCACCTGTTGTATTTCAGATATACTGTGTACCCTCCCGCAGCATGATTTCCTCTCCTTTTCTGGTGTATCCTGCTCTTCGGTCTCCTTATCGTCGAGGCGAGTATAACGGCCCCGCCAGTCCTCACTAACGCCAAAGATCTCCGCCGCCCATTTTCTCCGGGTGCTAAGAACGGCAGGCAGTGCAATCAGCACGAAGGCAGCCAGCACAGAAGTCCAGGCGATGGTGAACTTGATCTGCCATTTCGGATCCTCGACGTAAGAACTACATCGTGGGATCAGCTTCCTGTATCATGGGCTAGGGAGATAGAGACAGAAAGGGCGTACTTGTATTGCTGGAGCTCGGTGGGGATGACCGGGGGAGCTCCTGTGTCTGCCATCAAAGGGAGGAGAGGTGAAGAGAGGGAGAGGGAGATGGTCAGCGAGTAAGCAGGATAACAAGAGTCGTTAGGCGAGCAGAAGTCTTGTTGGGTGCACAAGCCGCACCGGCTATACAGGCCGTGGGAGCATCAAGCAAAAATAAAGAATAAAATAATGGCATTGCAAATAAAGACAAATATAGTGGAATTTCGTTCCACAAAACGTTCCTCTGGCGCA